AGTGCTTTCAAATGCTTCTCTTTATAGTATTGTGCAAGTTCTTAATGATTTTACTGATCATTTCTTGCTCCCAAATGTGACAAAGGGAAGGGGCCACTGAATTAGATAAAAATTTAATTTTATTGGGTTTTTTTAAAGGAATGGTTGTGCCTTATGCTTTGAATGCACTTTCAGTGTTGCTTCTGTTTACTGTCTTTTACTGTAGTATTGGCTTGCTCCTTTTAAAGTATTTGTATACTTAATGTTTTCAGCTTTAAATATTGTCTTTAACGACATAAGCCACGTCGGGTCCTTTTTAAGGTTGAAGGCAGAGTACAAATATTTTAAATAAAGGAGTGCCTCGTCACCCCGGGAATAATTCACAATTCAGGTCTTCACTAATCATCTTTCCACCTGATCTCGTAATTACCTGCTGCAACGCTGCTGGAATGGTGATAATTTTCTGGATGGTGCTTCCCAGTCGCTCGATGTAATAGTCCCAGTCCAGGATCTTGGAACAGACACGGAGAATTCCCAGTTAAATTCAAGGAGAGGGGCAGAAACAGAGGCATTTAGGAAAACACTCTGGAGGCGTAAGTCAACAGCCACCCTAGAAAAGATCAGCCCTTGGAGTCACGACTGTTGACGAGCCACCCTAGGCTACTTACCGTGCGGATGTCAAAGTCCTGCAGAGCCGGGCTCTTGAGCCACTTCCGGAGATAGTGCCTGCGGACCGAGAGCTCGGCCTGGAAAATGGCCAGTGGGATCGCTCTGAGCAGGAGAAATCAACGACAACATGATTGCAGGACTAGTCGCTCAAAGCAAGGGGAGGGGAAGCCACAAGACTCCTCCCAGCCTCTTCAGTCAGTGGGATTCAGGATTCTGCCCAGCAGCAAGCCACCATGTCAGAAAAGAACAGTGGGCCTCATCCGTTCTGGATCCAGCCCCAGGTAACAAAACAGGCTGGCCTGAAACTCTCCTGATTTACCTCTCTGTCACTGGGGAGCCTTCTGGCTTCTTGGAGATGATGAATCGGCAGCTCAGGCCCGCATCCTTCACCATCTGGTCCCCGAGAAACTCCGCCAGGCGCTTGGCGGTGCTGATGGACGTGGATTTCTGCTCTCCGTAATCCTCCAGTTTGCGAGACATGGATCGGTTCTCAGAGATCAGCTCAAAGAGTTCCGAGTCAGGCATGTTGGCGGCCTGGAGGGAGAAAGCCGAGTTGCTGGGAGCAGCCCGCTTGAGGTTCCCTGCGTCTCTCTCTCTCTCTCTCAAGAATTCTGCTCAGGAGGCCTCCGAGGCAGCCTCGAAGTTTGATGGAGAAGCTGCCCCATTATCTGGGATGACTGTGACCGTGGCTCCCAGTCCCTACACTCCGCTCCTGGCCCCAAGAACATCTGCAAAGGGTGTGATCAGGCTCCCACCAGAAAATCAGCTTCACAATATGTGGGGCAGCATATAATACTAAATTATTATGGTCAATGACCAGGAAGATAAGAACACATTATTTAGATAAAATCACGTATCAAAGATATTGGTCAGGACATTAACTATCAATGCACTGCCTGGCTCTTTTGTGACATTAAAGTTGTAAAAGGGGGCAGCGTCCAAATCAGAAGATGAATCCAACAGGACCCCCCTATACACGGGATCAGTATCCACTGATTCACTTATCCAGTCTAAAAACATTTTTTAAAAATTCCACATTTTAAACAATGAAGCTACCAGAACTGGCCACGAAAGGAAGCCAGAGACCATGTTATGTATAGTGTTCACTATTAGAGATGGGCACGTATTAAAAATCAAATCACCAAATTTGTTCCCAAAAAATCACAAATTCACAGGTTCGTATTTGTACGAATCAATGCCACCCCAATGAATATGAATCAACAAGTTTCTAGCCAGAGATCACACTATCTACAACGTTTGCTATTAAAGTAGCCTCCCGTGTTTTTCAGCACGTGTAGAGCGGCCTTGGAACCGATTCCCCACGGATCCAGGGCTCCTCCTTTATGCCCTTCTGGTCTCTTTCTCTGCCCAAATCCACACTCTTGTGCTCCAAAGAAGGGAAACGGACCACATCCAGAGACCTCCCCAGGGTGGGTTGGGGCGGACTCACCTTGCTGAAAAGTACATCCAGCCAGTAGTCGGCCACCTTGGCCACCGAAGCGTAGACTTCCTCCAAAGTGGTGCCTTTCAGGAAGGCCTCGAAGACCGAGGACTGGAAGATCTTCACCAGCTGCAGCTCCCCGCGCCGCTTGACCTCAAACCCCTTCAGCTCCGCGAGAGAGCCGTCTTCGTTAAACACGGCATACCTGGCACAGAACACGTACCGAGCTGGCGTCTCTTGCAAAAGAACGCAAGGGTCTTCCCTGCGGTCCATGCCAGGCTCCAACCTACGGAGAGCTAGGGGAGGCCCTGCTCTCCGGGCCCCTTGAGTGTTCATAAGGATCAAGCAGCAACATTCAGCTCCTGCTGTTTCCCGTTCTCTGTTCCACTGCTTGCTGCCCTGTTCCAGTCACTCACCTTTTCTTCAGCTTCTTGCCTTCCTCCTTGGAGGCAGGAAGAATCATGGCCAAGTACGGGCCGTCCACTTCGAAAAAGATGCTGTTCTCCGAGCGGCAGACGTATTTGAGCGTGGCTGGGTCCACCAGCTCCTGGTACTGATCGTTTGTAAACCCTTCCTGTAAAAGCAGAGACACAACCACATCCAGGCCTCAAGCTGTACCCTTTTCCTGGGGAACGGAGAGCCAAACCGGCCAGCATGAGCCTCAAAAGGGCAGAGGAAAGCTCAGCGCGGAAGAGACCCTTGGTGGTCCAAAGCAACTGCCTTATCTCTAGTCTTCCAACCGTTACAGACCCTTATAAGCATGAAAAACTGCGGCATGAAATGAATGAGATGCCAAGGCCTCTTGCAGCACCCCACACACTGCTCTGGCCCACCACCATGGCTTGTGGCTCCTCGGCCCCCCAAGGGCTGTATCACGGCCAGGGCAGGACCGGGAGGTTCTGCATTTAGCTCAGTGGCTCTGGAGCGGCGCAAGCCTCACGTGAGAAGACCTGTCGATCTGTGGCCTGCAAACACTGAGGTCCCGAACGCAGGACCTTCGGCTTGCAAACACAGCCCTCGGCCACGGAGCCACGCCCCTTCCTGAGGAACCTTTTTACTGCAGCAGCACGTTCCGCTGTTCTCTGACAGGCCACAAAACGAAAGCGCTGTCGGCTCGGAGGCCACGGACAGAACCCAGAAAATATCGGGAAGGACTTTGCAGGCCACCGGCCGAGAAGAAAAGAGTCGGGCTCCTCACCTTCACCATGATGTTCAACATGGCCCCCGGGTAGGAGATGGTCACTTTGGGCTTCTTGGCGTTGGTCGACTTGACCACAAAGTTCTCCGGGAAGCTGTTCGGAAGCACACACCAGATGCCATCCGTGTCCAGCTCCAGAGGTCTCCTGAGGAGGGGAAAACAGGGCAGCAGTTCTTGGCAGGAAACCACCCAGGACATGCTGGGGACATGGCGAGCGAGTGAGCGAGAGGATACAATTCTTCCTGCCTGGATCGCAGATCTCCCGAGACTGGCTTCTTTTTCTGGTGTGTGGCAGAAAAGAGCAAGCCAAGGGAAGAACAGAGAACCGCAGGAGCTGAGGTTGCTTTGGTGTAAGATGCCCGCACCCAAGCTCAGAACGTCCTTCCTGTTTGCCACCCCCACAGTAATAGAGGCCTGGCCATATCCTCAGCCTCACCTGGGACTTTTCAAGCACTCACCCAATCTGCTCTATCAGCTCCCTGGCCTGGGTGATGATGTTTGCGCCCGTGAAGCAGACGATCCCAGCCATCTCCATGGAGTACCACCGAGCTCTTGAGGGGGGGGGGAAGGACGGAAGGAGGTCAGCAAGACAAGAAAACCCAACAGGCATCTTGGAAAGAGGTTGTTTTTTTTTTTAATTTAAAAAAATCATCAATATTGTTAAACTGCCTTGAGGACGGATCCAGTCCAAATCTTCCCAGTGGGCTGGTGCAACCTAGCGGCTATGGGGATAAGCCTGGAAACCTCTTGATCAAAACTGTAACAGAGCCGTGAAGTTACATGGTGGCCCTGAGCACGTTGGTTTTCTGTTGAGTTCTGTGTTCCTACCTGCAGCTTCTGATAACACCCTGCGGCACTTTGGTATTGGGAAAAAACACAACCCAGAAGAGGATACAGTAAATGGAAGAAGGCAGGTTTGATACTTCATATCGAGTTCATTAGGAGGTGGTGAGAACCTGGGACCCTAAATGCAATTGCTAGTTTTTGCAAAGGTAGGCCCCTAAACCAACTCTGAGTTGGCTCATTCTGGTGGGGACTAGAATCGTGGAGTTGGAAGGGGCCTTGAAGGCCATCAGGTCCAACCCCTTGCTCAAGGCAGGAATCCAAATCTGAGCAGATCGGACAGACGCTGGTCCGGTTTTCTCTTGAAGGCCTCCAGCGTTGGAGGGCTCATCACCTCCCGAGGTCATGGGTTCTATTATTGTACTGCTCGAACAGTTAAGAAGACGAGCAATGTTGGTTTGAGTCACCATTTCGAGAGCGGCCCTGAAGACAACATAAGCATATGCCTTGTGTAAGCGGCTACCTGCCACTCCTCCTTAATGGGGTGAAGAGATGCACAAACCTTATGTGGTCACCCACAAGACCACAGAATACACACACACATGTAGACTGCAAGCATGTGTAATTCAACTTTGTCTGTAGCATATTATATCTTCCTGCACAGGTACCTGCTAGAAGCTTTCATTCTGGTCTCTATTATAACACAAAGCTTCTTCCCAGTAGAAATAACACTGATTTATAGTACATGGTTGCCAATATTAAGATAGTGCTACACATGATTAGATTTTCAATAAAAAAACCCAAGGAAGTGAAGCTATAGATCAGAGGTTCCCAACCTTGGGTCACCCAGGCGTTCTTGGGTGGCAACTCCCAGAAGCCTTCAACCACCCGCTGTGCTAGCCAAGGTTTCTGGGAGTTGCAGTACGAGAACATCTGGGTTCCCTAAGGTTGGGAATGGGTGCTATAAAAGAACAGGAAATGTCAGTGATGAGGAAGAAGGAAGAGAGAATGGGTTTTCTTTCTTAAAAGTGGCAGAGGAATAGGAGACATGTAACACCTCCAAGCCCTCTGCTCAAGAGGGCTTCTGAAGATGCATGGGTGGCCCTCCGTCCCTGGTGTTCTCCCACTCACCCTTTGCGCATGACGTAGCCGTAGAAAGAGTTAAGGATGCATTTATGTGCCAGCTGCAGGGAGTCGTACAAGATCTCCATGTTCTTGCAGCGCTTCACCTCAGAGGCATCACCCACTTCCACGGCGGCTGCCAGCTTCTTCTTCCACACCTGAAACAGAGACAGCAAGGATGAGGCCTAACAAGCCACGGGTGGTCTCTGGTCTCAAGGGCTTTGTCGGCTCCCGTGGAAGGAAGCCCTTCTGGATGCCTACGATAAATGTCCATCCTTTCACTCCAAAACTCTGAGATATAAAGTCCGAGATTTTAAACCCTTTTGTACAAATTTTGAAAAATGTAAACAAAGGCCTTCGATTTCCATGGCTAAACTTAGAGATAACAAAAGAACCTAAGAGCCTATATTTCTTCCCATAGCGGGTCTGATTTCTTTATCTCTCCGTAGGGCCCACCCCATGGATCTAAGCATGAGAAGGCTCTCCCCACAATTCAGATCCTCAAACCCTGAATTACTTTACCGGTTACCGCAAAGACTACCAAAATTCATGGTCAACTACACCATCGGCAGGCCGGATGAAAGGAAAAACGAGGGTACCTTATGGAGCCCTTTAAACTCATAGCGTCGGTCCCGAAAGGCGCGCACGGTGTCCACGTAGAAGGAGTTTTCCCGCTGGCAGATGGTGGTGATGCGCTCTTCCACTTTCGTCACGTGGACCTTCTTGTAAGCTTTGCGGCAGTAATCTGACACATGGCCAAGAAAGGTTATTCTGGGACACCTGATTCTTCCCAAAACCGCCTCGGAAGGAAATCACTTTCCGGTCACCATCCCCACCACCCCTCAACCCCATGTCCGTCGTTTTATGTGAAGGGATGATGGCGGTCTGTGATATGACAGCCCTTTCAAGGCAGAAGATCCTCTCAGAGAGCCTCAGCCAAGGTGGCACGCCTCCCCGAGAAGGACAGGGAGAGGGTGGAGATAAATCAACGATTTTAAAAAACAAAACAAATTGGTTTACATATTTTTTTTTTGTAATAAAAGATCTGGCATCCATACCATGGGCTTCAGCAAAGCAAGGAAGCACTCCTCTTGAGCAGAGGGGAATAATGACCAGATTTAAGGTGCTGGTTTTAACATATAAAATCCTTAAAAGGTTTGGGTTCTCAATACCTGCCGGAGCGGTCTCTCCCTAAAAACATCGATACAGTCCTCCCAGGCCTTGCTGCTCAGGGTGGCCACACCAAGGACAATTAAAAAAAAACCCAGCGACGAGGAAGTGGACATTCTCGGTGGTGGCCATGTCCTTGTGGCATGGACTTCTACCAGAAGTACATCGGATTCTCTCCCTTTAAATGTTCGGGAAATTAGTGAAGGCAGAGCTGTTCAGAGGCCTAAGGGTGGCATTCTTTCTGGAAATAACTCAGGTCCCTTACCCACTCTGAAGAATGACACCTACCAGTTCTTACATTTTTAAACTTCCAGTTTTTCTCAAGATTATTTTTCTTTTCTTTCTGCATCTTTTAAATTGCCCTTGTTTGTTGTTCTTTCAGTTGACGTTTTAAACGGATTTAAATGTGATTTTTATTGTTATGATTTCATCATATTTTTATGTGTAAACCGTCCACAGTAGCAATTCATTGAGTATACAAATTCCATAAATGAATGAATGAACGTCATTTTTCAAGAGCAGCACTTCAAGTTGAATGCTCAGCCCTCTGAAAGCAGGGGAAGTGAGGTGGGCTGAGTGAAAAACAGCAAGATCCAGCCGTCTGCTTCATATCTGGCCTCTGTGGAAATGACCTGGACCTCTCTCAGTGATGACCAGAGCTATCTAGAATCCAAAAGACATAGCACTTTGCTGTCTCACATGAGATGGCATCCCCTTTCTCTGCCAACCAAGGATTATTCTCAACAGGCCACATCCAAGAATAGTTTTCACTTGATACTCCTTTGACCTAAAGCCAGAGGTGGAAGACGGCAAATTCCAAGAAAACAAAACCACTATAACCCCGCCCCCCCAAAAAAACACAGAGCTGGACAGCTCCGAGAGGCGGCACCGTCATTACAGCACAGTGGGGACCCAGGAGAGAAGGCCGCCTTCTCTGTGGCTGCTCCTTTAGACTCTGGAACTCCCTGCCACTGGAGGCCAGCCTGGCCCCCTCTTGGTGGCCCTTCCGCAAGCAGGGAAAGGCCTTTCTCTTGTGGCAGAATTTCCCTGAGTGAATGACTCCCTGAAAGAGGTTTTTAAAAGGATGGTTATAACTTACTGCTTTGAATGTGTTTTGGTGTTGCTTCTGTTTTTTTTTTTTAGTGTAGGGCTTGTTTCACCCATTTTAATATTTGTCTACTCCCTGCTGTCAAGCTTTAACAACTGAAAGACAGTCACCTTGAGTCCTTTTTAAGGAGAGAGGCAGGGCAGAAATATTTTTAAACAGATAAGCAAAGAAATCGACCAACAAACAATTAGTAGCCTCCTTGGATGATCGAGAGAGAGAAACCAAGCCGTACCAATGTTTGGTCCCTAAAGCACAAGAAGGGGAGGAGGGTGCTTACCGGCCAGCCGCTTCTTTTCGTATTTCGCCTGCTCTTCCCGGGAGAGCTCATGGAAGGCCCGGGGTGGCCCCTCCGGGAAGAGAGGGGGGAACTTCTCCGACTCCAGTTGCTGCTGGATACGGTGGTATTCACTCCGACTTGCTGGCACTGCCGTTGGAGAAAGGGGAAAAGACAGCTGAGGATGTGGCTGAGAAATCCGGATTAAAGCAGGACCCCAGTATCCGTGGGATCAGTATCCGCTGATTCACTTATCCACTGGCTGAAAATACTAAATAAAAAACCTCATAAAGACATACTGATGCATATTTCCAGGGTGTATCTACCAGCACCGGTCACTGGAGGGAATCAGAGACCACGCAAGGCATAGCATTCAATACTTCCACGCTTTTCGGCATCCCCCTGTGGATACCGCAGTCCCACTGTAGAAGTGAAGGCTTGAGCAGTGGGCAGCTGAGTAGCAGAGAGCAAGTACTCACTGAATTCTCCTCTCCACTGCCACGTCATCCTCCGCTGACAGTTGGCACCGGGCCTGTTAAAGTCACAGGCCGCACATGTGGCCTCATCCACCACCGCTGAAGGCTGAAGTGGGCAAAGGGAAGATGGAGAGAAGAAATAAGGTA